GATCAGCTGCAGCCGCGAACGCTGGGAAAGTTACCCCCCGACATACGCATACGCGTGAATGCGAGTGTGTGTGTGAGCGTGGCAACACTCGGGGTGTCATGAATAGGAGAGATTTGACCCTCAACCCCGGTGACCTGTCCACACAAACCCCAGCCTTTAACCCAAGTCCGCTATTGTCACCCTTGACTGCCTCGGCTCATTCAGCGAGCCCGCCAAGAGGGCCCAAATTCATTATATACCACTTTGCTTATTATTTTCCACCCACGTTTATGCTTCTCCTCATTTCTCCACCATTCTTTCCACCAGTTTCATTCTCTTTCCCATCACTCCCCCTTTCTCTCTTTTTTTTCTTCACAGCCTCCGTCCTGTCCGCTTTAACTTATGGTCTTGAATTTTAACTTGTGCTCTGAGCAGATTGAGCATCAGCGCTGAAATATTTGCATCCTTAATTATTCTTTCCTTAAATCTCAGATGAAACTAGTAAACTTTTAGTCAGGGCTTCATCTGAGGTGCTTTTAAATCAGTTGGAAAAATTACAGATTTGTCATTTTCCATAAAAAATTAAAAAAATAGAGGTTGTGTTTCTATTTTTTTTTATTCTAAAGTGGTCTTAATGTGCATATGTGTGAGTGAGGACTGCTGGACATGATGGAAGACGACAGATTTGATATTATCTCTATAATTTAGATTGTTAGTTTATTAATATTGTGTCTTATCTACCAACATTTGGCTCTATTAACGCATCATCGTGGGATTTTTTCATATAGAGGGATAAAAATATCATCGAAAACGTTCTCCACCAGCTAAAACAATGCTCAGACTTGCTGCGTACGCCCTCACGATGGACTGAGATCTTGTGCTTTTATCACAACCCTGGCAACAGCTGTTATAGGAGTTTCTCAAGCTGAGCCCCGGGGACCTCCAGGGATTATTGAGGAGGATCAAGATGTGTCGATCCAACATGTTGAGAAACATAATGGGAAGTGGGAGCAAGTGTTTGCATACATATGTTCCCAGTTATGACCTCATCAGGAGGAGGCTGGCGAGGAGGAGAAATCGGTTGACCCTCAACAAATATCAGCGGCTAATAAGTGAGTAATATATAGCTGGCTGGATTATTTATTCTGCTTTGTATCTGTCGCACTGTCTTCATGAGTAGGTGATATAACAGAGATGCTGACAATCTGCTCACAACTACTGCATGAATTTTCTATTTTCCACACACTGGCATCCAAATAAGATGCATCTTTGACCCTTTTATTCACTGAACCTGTGTTTTCTTTGCTCCGATGCTGTGAGAAAACCTACATCTTAAACCTACAGCTGCAATAAATAAAGCCAGATATGACTCATTACAAGCTTCTTTTCTTAAAAAATTTTAACTATCTCTTTGGCTAAAACCACAAACATGTTGTCATTTAAACGTTGATAGTCCTGTTCACAAGAAACCTCATTTAAAGGTGAAGCATTGCAGTGAATAACCAGTTGAGCGTTTGCCTGTGGTGGTTATGTTTCACTCACTTTAACCGTTCTTTTTGGAGCCTCTTCCTGCTCCTGTTGCATCCACCTCACTGGACTCTGCTGCAAACATGCAACCAGCCAGCTGTGCATTGACAAATATAGTTTCATTATCTTCAATAATTCCCCAGCAGCAGCAGCAGCAGCAGTAGAGGCACAAAAGAAAACCCCTGTGTTGTTTGTCACTTTTGACAGAGCAGGCCAGTAATTAACTAAGTGGTGGAAGAAGAGCTCCGATGCTTTAAGAGAAAACACCACAGTCCAAGTATGATCATAAAATAGTCCAGTCATCATGCAGATCAGCTTCTCTCAGTGTCTGTTGCAGCTAATTTGAACTACTTTCTGTATTACTGTGCGTTTAAAAGTGGGTCATGTCTCGGAAAATTTGTAAATCTGCTCTTAATGTAGACGAGTATGAAAGTAGAATGAAAATTCTGCTTTAGATTAGAAGTAACCTCTTAATTATGTTTAAGTGAGAAACCATTCCAGTATAAACTGATGCAAACCTGAAGATTAAAGGCCTCAGATTAGAAGGATGCTCAGATTGAGCCCCTCTGTTGGATCAAAACCTCCCCCTGCTGGTGAATCTTTGAAATGACCGCCATGATATGTAACACTGCAGGCCTCACGTGAGAGTGTCTCTCACAACAACATCAGATACTTCATGTGTAAATAAATGTGAGTCTCTACACTCAAATCTTAATATTGATAAGTTGTCTTTATTATAAAGAGGGAAAATAGTTTAATTCTGACCACAGACGTCATGATTATGATGCAAATGTGAATTTGTTCAGGTGGAATATTTGGATGCTGGAATGATCCTGATGGTTCTTCAATCAATCAGACGTTATTTGTGAAGCACGTTTAATGCACAACACAAAGCCATTTACGAAAACAAGAAAACACAATAATAACATATACCTAGCCTCCTCACCCTCATGATCCTGCCACAATTCAAGGGACCCATTTCCACCATTTTATTAAATGCACGATTGTAAGATTTTTAAAAAGTGAAGCTCTCAGAAAGAAGAATAAAAAAGCTGAATTTCCTGATTTAGATTAACCATTAAAGTTGCAAACCTTATTTTGATGGTTTGGGTTGACACAATAATCCTACTAATAGCACCAACTTAGTATTGTGTGTAACATGAACTCAGATTTCTGCAGAAGTTTACTTAAAACTAGATTTTAATGTTACTTAATAAAATTTGCTTGATGATTTCATCTTGACTTCAGGATTTCAGGTCCCTTCTGCTGGTTTAACAAACCTGAAGCCTGAATTACGAAACGTTATCCAGTTAACTTCAAGTTCAGCTCTGGATTTTTCATGGTGGTGGTTCACCAGTAGCTGAGGAACATCTCCACCACGCTGAACTCTTCACCTGCTTCACATCAATATGTATTAAAGAAGCGCCTCCTGGCCAATCAGCTCTCTGGTGAAATAGCATCACTGCTCCTGGAAGCTCCTGCAGAGCTCAGACAGTGAAAGGGTGTCAGAGGGGGGCAGGAATTTTTTGAGCTGCAGTTTCAAAGCTGATTCGTTGTTCTACCGGCCTTTATGTATCGATATAATCCTAAAACAGGGCACTGATAAAAACCTAAAGCTCTGACCTCCTTGACCTTATACAATTTGCAATAAGCCTTTTATCAGTTTGAATAATGTTTTACCATCACCAAGCAGCTGAAAGAATAAGACTAAGACTCACACACTGAAGTCATGGAAATATCTTTATTTCTTTGCTATTTATTGTTGTCATTGTTGTGAGTAACTTAAAGGTTCATACATCTTTATGTTTGTTGTACAATCTTGTGTTGCATGATGATAATGTAACTGAAGGCTGAATAAGGAAACCAACATCTAAACAACTCAATCACAGTTTTAAACAGATCATGTATGAAGCAGCTTTCCCAGCTGGTTTACCAAACAGCTGTGTTACTGTATTATAGTTTTCCTCATACTGGTTTAGGAGTTTGTTCGTCATGTGAGGGATTTGCGGCCTGAGATCTGTCCATGCTTGTGACTTGCTCATCTGGCGCCAACTGGCTCAAAGCCAGACACAGAAACTCTGGATCAACTAATCAGGTTGATAACCAGCTTCGTGTGATTTCTTAGTGAGACACAGGTTGTTATGTTAAGTGAAGCCAGACGACGAAAAGATCCCAGTATGTTGATCCCACTTCAGAGTCCAGTAGAGACACATAGAGACAATTTGAGACGATCATTATGTTAAGACGGATAAGACTGGCTATTAAAAATACCTTTGATTGTAGCAGAAAAGCTGATTAGCCCAACAAAATAGTGTCTGAATTAAATGTAATTTTATTAAATGATTTCAGAACAAAAATAATTATGCAAACTATTTTTGTTTTGTTGTTGTTGAGCCCAAATATTATTTTTAGAGTGTAAATGAAGGACTCTTCAGCAAACAAAACAGTCATCAAGGACCTTTTCCCACCACTGGCAAGATAAAATGTCATATTATAGATTTTGATGAACCTTTAAATATTATTTCAGTGAGTTGGTCTGACATAATAATGTTGGTATTTACATCAATTTAATATTATGTGTAATTTAATCTCAAATTGTGTTTTTTGTTCTCAAGATTAAATATTGTGTTAAAATACGAAAAAAGAAAAAAAAAAAGACACTGAAGAAAATCTAACTGGAACAACTTAACGTCTTTAAAATCTTTGACCAATTAGAAACTTATGTTCATAATTAAGGTAATTAAGTACATAAGCTCCTTTAAGTAATATAGATGTGCTAGTGGGGAAAAACTACATTTTTCTGATTAATCAGTTTAAAAACTTTTTGTTTATGCCACCAATCATTAAAAAATGATAATAAAAATTACTTTTGATTGTAGAGGTAAAGTTAAGTTAATTGGTTGAACCTAATTTCACTAAATGATGCATCACATTTATCTTGTTGAACCCAAACATTGTTTTCAGAGTGTACAGGTAATGCTATATACCACCACACCACTGAAAAACACAAAGTAGGCTTATGTCACCTTGGATTTCATGATTGAACACACATAAAGGCCAAAAACTACAGAACAAATCTAAGTGGAGCAACTTCATTTATTCAAAATATTTGGCCAATTAGAAACTAATGTTCCTCATTAGTGTAATTATGTACATAACTGTTAAAAAGCCCCTTAAAGTAATGTAGATATACTGGTTGGAACAGCTTATTTTTTTGAGTAATCACCTTAAAAACACTTCCAACCATTAAAAAAGTGTTAAATAAAAATAGTTTTGATTGTTTGAAGTTTGTTGGCTGAACCTGATCTCATGAGCTGATGGATTTCCATAAACATGTTTCCTTTGTTTGAGCTCAAACCCTGTTTTTTGCAGTGTGCAGGAAACACTTATGTCACCACTGAAAACACAAACTAGGCTTATGTCACCTTTGTCTGCACAGATTTATGAATAATGACAGAGTGGCCAAATCACGCCTCCATCTTTGGAGATCAGACTCCTCCACTCAGCCCGGGCTGTAATTTAACCCTCGCTGGGCCTGACTTTGGAGTTGTTCTTGGAAAAAGCCAGCTCGTACATGAAGTAGGGGGGTTGAAAATTTGGGAAAGCCCTCTTTTTCTTTTTCTTTTTTTTTTTTCTTCTTCCTTTTCTTGGACTGCTGACGCGTACAGCGGCGGCGACGTGCTGCTCCCAGGCGCCGTGGATCACTCTGCGCCCTTTCCAAGCCTCCACCATGTTCCTGCTTCACTTTCTAGTCGCGGGGGCCTTCGTTTTACACGCTGGATGTTACTTTTCCGAGGAAAAGTTTCCGGAGGAGTCGAAAATGCAGCCTCCCACCGTGGTGATCGCGATCATAGCCAGGAACGCTGCGCACTCGCTGCCCTACTACCTCGGAGCTCTGGAGAGACTCGACTACCCCAAAGATCGCATCTCAGTGTGGTGGGTTTTCCTGCGCGGACTCTGCCGGGCTGTTTGCTCTCCCTTTTTATCCGACTATAGCAGCCGTTCAAAAGGTCAATGGCATTTAAATGAGTTTGTGAAAGCGGCAGCAGCAGCAGCGTCCTCCCCCTCCTCTGTTCCCTCTGCGCCTTTCACTCCGCCGCATTCATTTCCTACTGAGGGCTGCCTGCGATTTTATGTTCTCTGGAGTTTGTCTAGAGGCTGCTGGAGCAGTGATGGCACTCCTTTGGTAATTCATGCTGCATGTTAAACACTGCAAACTTCAAACTGAGCTGACCTCAGAGGAGTTTTAAAGCAGTATATGTCTGAACTTTAGTGCCATTTGTGTGGAAGTGGCTGATCCCATTTAAATCTGTTCAACTTCTGTGTCAGATGATACTGGTTGGTGTTGTGTTCACATCAGCACACTACTTTTCCCACTATGAGGCAGAGATGTGGGTAGAATTGTATCACATATGTGCAGTTTTGTGTTAGAATATCAGCTGATGTCAGGATTAAGTCAAAATTAGTGAGAAATCTGTTGAAAAGTTGATTTTAAAAGTGTTTCCTTTCAGCTAATTCAAAATTAGTTGATCTCACTGATGCAAAAAAATCACACAAAAGTCCAGTTTTGCGATGGAATTAATCTGCCAGTTGATAAATGGATGTAGTCTGAGGTGTTACGGTGGACTGCTAATGACTCGGAGTCAGAGTTGAGGTTTCAAGATATTTTCCTTCCAGAACATTTCTCCTTTCAGAGGACTGGAGAGAAAATATCCAAAAGTGCACGGCATGTTTTCTATTTGCATCTTATTGTTTAAAGGCTGTTTCCTCAATAATTACTTGTTTTTTTTCCTCCACTCGGAGCCAGAAATCTCTACTTCCAGTTTTATTTCTATTCATAATCTGGAAGTTTTTAGAGGGTTTGTTTATGTATCAGTCACATTTGGATTTATAGAACAATGTGCTGCTGAAAGCATGGAAAAATATATTTTTTCCACTGGCTGTTGACAGGATTTTCTTGGAGTGATACAGATAAAAATAATAATAATTAATAAAAAACACATTTTGTTAAAACTCTTGAGACAAAAACCTTTAATCTGACGTCATCCAATGTTCACATTTTGCCAAATTAGGTGCTTTTTTATATATTTAATGGGCAAGTTTTAATGAGACATCAATTGCTTAATATTTGTCCCCTATTTTCTTGCCGTCTCTCTACTTAAAAAAATGGAAAAAATAAAATTAAACCAATGGTACACGTTTGATAATATCATCAATAATCTAGCACGAGTAACTGGTACTGATAGCAGGAACAACATACAGTCCAGTGATTCCTCCACCTCTCTACACTTGTACTTTGAGTGTCATTTATTTGCCAAAAAAGGGATAAAACACACTATAAACAAAGTTATATTAAAGCTATAAGGTTATATTTTTGGCGTGTGCTGCTACCTTCTTGGCCGGGTCACCCTTCTAAAAGAGATCCTGGATCCAACCTGGTTAAATAAAATAAAAAAAAGTTCATTATAAATTTTACTATTAGCATTTTTGTTAATTTCCTCCAAAATTTCTCCAGACATCAGATTCCTTCTGGCCGCCACAATTGTGTGATACGATGCCAGCCCTGGTCTCAGGCTGTACGTGGTGGTTTTTTAGCCACGCGCGCTTCCCTCCAACTACAGGTTTACTCGAGTGACACTTCTGAAAATAACTCACAATTATGAACGACAAAGAGAGCCAAGGCATATTTCAGCGGATTATAACGTGCAGTGACCGTTGGCTGCTTCGCTCACATCTGTCCAGAGGTTACGGAGTGCAGAAGAAGTCATCAGCGGCGGTGGAAGGTTGTGTTCAGATCCTTCAATTAAGTAAAAGTCCAAATACACTGACATGAAAATGCTCGATTACAAGCGTGTGAGTCCCTGAGTGTAAAATCCTAAAAGTGGACGAGAGTTACAGCAAAATGTAGATAGTGTTGAAGTAAAAGACTGGTTTGATCTTTAGCTGATGATTAGATCATTAATTCTGCATGTGGAGGTCGGCTAGTTTGAACTACTTAATGTTCAGTTTTATACACAAGGACAGCAGATACATCTGAGGCATCGTGAGAGGATTAATGGGAGAAAAAAGTTCCGATAAACAAATCTGTTTCCAGTTTTTGGGGCTTTTTCTCTCGAATGTGCTGTTTGTTGAGATATTGGATCATCGGAACATTCGTTGAAATAAAACCATGAGAGGGAAAAATCACTGTTTGGTGGAGCTCACAGACGTCTGAGATGTGAGTCTGTAAAGCTGAAATCACTCGTCATCAGAAGCCAGATTGTAATTCAGGAGGAATTCAAAGAGCAAAGAAATGCTGCTCAGTCATTTGTTTTGAACCGTGACTCCGGCATTTGAAAGCAGAGTCACTAGTTTTGGACATGTGCAGTTAATTTTTTTACATCCTGTTTCCTCTTTTGCTCTTCAGGGCAGCAACAGATCATAACTTGGACAACACCACGGCCATCCTGAAGGAGTGGCTGACTGTGATGCAGAAGTATTACCATTATGTCGAGTGGAGGCCGATGGACAAACCCACGTAAGTCTGAATACATCGAACTCCTCTGACCTGGATGGTCAGACACCTCCAGATCATGTGTGTTTGTCTGGGATGCATTTCATCCTTCATCGGGATGACAAAGATTCACTGAAGTGTCATGTCGGTACCAGCAAAACTACACTTTAAGGGTTAATTTCATCCAGCCTCTAAGTTCATCTGTTATGGCACAAACCTAAAAATAAAAATGATTTTCTCTTTGCATAATAAGGAGTGATGCAGCGTGTCTCTGCCTCTCTGAGCTGAGGAGACCATTAGTGGAAATTATTTGTGCTTGTCAAGTCCTCGCTCTGACTGAACTCTGCTAATCTGCTCAAGCTGTTTAAGCTGTCAGTCCAGCTGTATTCAGTCCAAGTTCTTGTGCATCTTTTGCTCTTTGTGCAGCGATGCCAACTTCAGAACTTTCAACTTGCACTGTTTTTATATTTTAATCCACTGCCATATGCACGCTGTATGTTTTCCATACAGTAAACATTATTCCAGTCTGATTTTACGGACACGAAAATACGCTTCTATAGTTGGAAAGCATGGCCTGTAATTTTAAATTCTTGATTTTGAAAATTGGCAAAGCATGTTTTTCATTCAGGGAAATGTATTTTGCTGTAGAAATCTTTCAGCCTAACTTGGTTATAAATGATCGAATAGGAGAAAATATGCAAATTGGTACAACATTAAACCAAAGCAGCATCATTTCCTGTTTTAATATCTGTTTCAGGTCCTATGCAGGAGAGTTGGGTCCTAAGCACTGGCCCAACAGCAGATACGAATACGTGATGAAGCTGAAGCAGGCGGCGCTCAACTTTGCCAGAAAACGCTGGGCCGACTACATCCTGGTACGTTACGAAAATAATGTTTCTAGCAACAGCAGAGTAAGATTCGTATCAGTTTCTTTCTTGACATATCAGATGATTTTTTTCCCCCGTCTGTGCAGCTGCTGTTTCATCCAAGAAAAATGTTGGCAGCCGTTTCTCAGCTGGCAAAAGTGTCGCTCACATTTTCCTCTCCTCTCTCTGTCCCCTCTGCTTCAGTACGCTGACACAGACAATATCCTCACCAACCCGGACACCCTCAACCTGCTCATAGCGGAGAACAAGTCGGTCATCGCTCCCATGTTGGACTCTCAGGGAGCGTACTCCAACTACTGGTGTGGTATCACTCCGCAGGTGAGTGTGGATCATTCATCTGCTGGAAGGGAACACTTGAGAGGAACTGTCATTGCTTTTGTGTTGAACATGGTTAAGTCATGTTCAAAGCAGCCATACTTTTTTTAATATGCACTTTGGTTTTTTTTTTAGGGATATTATCGTCGGACAGCAGAGTACTTCCCCACCCGGCACCGCCACAGACAAGGCTGCTTCCCAGTGCCGATGGTCCACAGCAGCGTGCTGCTGGATTTGAGGAAGGAGGGCATGAAGAAACTGGCTTTCTACCCTCCTCATGATGACTACTCTTGGCCCTATGACGACATCATTGTTTTCGCCTTTTCTTGCCGCTCTGCAGGTTCGTTGGTGCTTCTTTGTAGCTACATTTATCAGTAAAGTGTATTTGCACCAGTGTAATCTGCACACACATGCTCTTTTTAAGAATAATGAGCCTTTCAGTGCTGGTGAAGTCCCACTGCAATAACTGCCTCATCTATTCATTTATTCATTTTCCTGACTGATTGATGTTTGCTGCTGCTCAGAGATCCAGATGTACCTGTGCAACAAGGAGCGCTACGGCTACCTGAACGTCCCGGCCAAACCTCACCACACCTTGGAGGACGACCGCCTCAACTTCGTCCACGTCCACCTGGAGTCCATGAGTAAGAGCTCACTGATTCACAAGCTGTTGACATTACCAGTGATGTCATCAACCAAAAAAAAACAAAAACAAAAAAAATCTTAGTTGGCAGAAATCGTACTTACTCTTCTACTAATTGATTAGTTGCCGGGGAGAAACGATTTGCACAATATCTCCAGATTAACCAAACTGGTCCCAGTATGCTGAGTGCATTCTACCTGCTTTATTAACTGGAATCAAGTCTAAACATAAAATGCTCGTGTTTGCTGCACATGAAGTCATTTTAATCCAGTTATTTGATACTAAAATAGCAGCTGTGGCTCAGGTGATAGAGCGGTCATCCTCTGATCATAAGGTTGGTGGTTCGATCCCCGGCCCCTCCACAGCTGAAGTGTCCTTGGGCAAGACACTGAACCCAAAGTTGCTCCCAATGGCAGGCAGCACCTTGCATGGCAGCTCTGGTGTGTGAATGGGTGAATGAGAAACACATTGTAAAGCGCTTTGAGTGCCGCTAAGGTAGAAAAGTGCTACATAAGTACAGCCCATTTACCATTTAAAATTATAACAACAAACTATAATCAGCATGCAGCTTCTCATTTTCATATGATTCTCCCTAAATGCCAACTCATGATCCCAGCACAGGAACTATTGGGGACTATAGCATAGCCTAGTTAGCCTGCTGTTTTTGGATAATATTCCACATCGCTTGTTGAGCTGCGATATGCAAACTACACTTCACAAAGTATATACTTGACTTTTTTTCCCCTCCATTTAAACAAAGTGCAGCCACACCGGCAGCTTCTTTGACACGTTGGTAATTAGTTTGGAGCTGACTCGGAGTAAATGTTCAGTAGACGTTGAGTAAGTTGGACTTATCAGTCTCCATTAGGCCGGACAAGTTTAAAGTTGTGAAAACGTTTTTCACAAGTGGTCTGTTTGCTGTGAAAAATAATGGATTAACCCTGGAAGACTATCAGTGGAGTGCTTCTCTCCTTATGAGAGTAGCTCTGCTGGCTGTGAGATTAATGAGTCGCATGAGAGATTATCAACCATCTAATCAACCAACTGGAAATGGAAACTATACATCCCTCAGTATAAATAGAGACAACAACTAACCCTGTATGCCAACCACATCTGCACAAGTTTTTGCTGCGTTCAGCTTTGTTCTTATGTTCTTCTAACTCGTGTTCTCCTCTTTGTTAAACAGTTGATGGTCCTCCCATGCATCCCTCCCGCTTCGTCCACATGTTCCCCAAACAGAGAGACCTCATGGGGTTTGATGAGGTGACAAAACTGTTTCACGTTTTAAAATACCGTGCTCATACTTTTGTGGTTCAGATTTTTCAGTGATTCTCATAATCTTAACAGCTGGAGAAGAAAAAAAAAGTTCTGTTTCATGGATTTGTGGATGTTATTAATCACAACTCTGTATACGTAATGAGCAAAATGAAAGCAGGAGGAATTCAAATGTTTAGCTTCATGCAATAAACTACTGGATGAATGGAGTTTAAGGAAACACAGAATATACAGTCGACTTGTTTGCAGGAATAAAAAGACGAGAGGCGACGTACAAGGTTTATGGAGTTAAATAACCGTTTGCCCGTCTTTCTTCAGATATTTCTGATTAATCTGCGACGCCGGCCTGACCGCAGAGACAGGATGCTGTTCTCCCTGAACGAGCTGGAGATCGACGTAAAGGTTGTAGATGCTGTGGATGGGAAGTGAGTAGACTCTCGGAGAAAGACTCAGAGCGGTAATAACAGTCAATTGGCTCAGATGGAAAGGGTGCTTTGAGTGTTTCCACGAGAAGGAGGAAAAAAATAGATAGTGAGAGGAAACGTAGACTGGAGAATGCTTATACATCTGCTCAGTTTTGGTTTAAAATTTACAGACCTACGCCGTGGCTGAGAGGAGATTCTTATCTGTTTTGTAGCTGCTTGCTCCTGCTCATGGTGGCAGCAGGGCTGGAAATGGATTCCTTCAGACTCTTGTAAAACGGGAGATGTTTCTGTTTACAAGTTGCAGCTTGTGGAATAACATACGTTTATCACCCGTCTGTGGTAATCTGCTCATTTCTGACAACTCAGGAGATGAAGACTTACAGATTGGGACATTCTGATCCTTCAGATATACGCAAGCAGTGACAACCACGGCTTGAAATTAAAGCCGATGTGGAGGAACTTTTAAAGTGTAATACCGCTGAGTCACTTATGAAAAAGCTCCAATAGACTTCATTTAAAAAGCAGCAACTTCTTTCATGAACTACTAAGTCAGTACATTTCTTCCACAAGTCATAATAATGTCATTAGTTGAATTTATTCCCTCTGATCAGTGTGCTGGTGGCCATTTTGATAAATATTAAATAATGAATTAGATACTAAACCTGAAAGACAGACATGTTGGACGTCATTGCTTGCTATCTTTATATACAGTCTGCAGCTATATATGAACATTAAAGGTGAAAATCAGGTTTTGTCATCATGTCTATGAGATATTTTTACAAATCATGAGCGAAACAAGCAGCCAGCACCATGGTTGAACACTTTCTTGCTGAGTCTCAAAAACTCAGACTTTCAGGACTTCATTGGTAACAAGCCCAGAGAATCAATCCTGAGTGGAACTTTCCATTTCAGTATCCTTCTTTAGAACTAGTTTCCAGCTTCAACATGAATCCCTCAATTAGTCCAATAGCACAGCTTGTTATTATGTACTGTAGAGTGGCCTCACAGTGCCTGATTAGAGTTGTAGGTGAGCTGGTGTGCTGGAGCTCCCGTGACTTCAGATCTGCACAAGCAAGGGTTACTTAAGGCATGATTATTTTAATCGTAAAAGACTTCTAATATGTAACTTTGATCCCCAATGATGAGTTTTTAGTGGTTAAATCAATGACCAGAGAGGGACTTCAAGGATTTTAAGAATATGTTTTGGTTGCGGTCGCCGGCTCCCGGCCCGAGTCCGGCCCCCAGAGGGGCTCCGCCGTCGCCGTCTCCTGTCCGGCCCGCAGAGGGGCTCCTCCGTCGCCGGCTCCAGTCCGGCCC